TGTGTGATACCCTGGATGAGTTCAGAAAAAAATAGGCACAGCAACCAACAATTTCTTCAGGTGAAACACACGTGCAGTTTATTCACACCATATACAAGCAAAAGGAGCAAAGCAAACAAAACATGAAAATAAATCCTTGCCTTTTGGCACCTTACTACTTACACTGTTTTCCCTCACTAACCACTAGGTGCAACCTTGTGCTGCCCCTAGCACCTATCTCCCTATTGAGCAAACTGCCACACAGGCTGTGTCTCACCACACAAGTTTGGTTTTCTTTTTCACCACACAGATAGATAGAAAGCTCCCCAGTCTATTCAGGCACAAAACTGGATCCAGGGTGGAGCAAAACTTTAGGTAGTCTGCGAGTTCTTATAGAGGCTCTAATGAGCCAGCTTACATCAGCTGGGATCATTACCTCTACCATTCCTGCCTCCCAGTACTCCCACTAGTGGAAGCAATCCGTATATAACCTGAAACACACATACTTGCTATCCAAGATGCACCCAGGTGATTTTACTTGGCTGCTTTCAATATATATATATATATACTGAAATATCACATGTACTTGAGATTTTTCTACACCTTGACTGGAGTCCACCTGTGGTAAAAAAAATTGATTGGACATGATCTGGAAAGGCACACACCTCTCTATAGGAGACCTCACAGCTGACAATGCATACTGTATCAGAGCAAAAGGCATGAGGTCAAAGGAACTGCCTGCAGAGCTCAGAGACAGGATTATTGCAAGGCACAGATCTGGGGAAGGCTACAAAAATAATTTCTGCTGCACTAAAGGTTCCCAAGAGCACATTGGCCTCTCATTAAAGAAGTTTGGCACAATCAGGACTCTTCTAGGAGCTAGTCATGCGGCCAAACTGAGCAATCAGGAGAAGGTCCTTAGTAAAAGCAGTGACCAAGAACCTGATGGTCACGCTGACTGACCTCCAGAGATCCTGTGTGAAGATGGGACAAAGTTCCAGAAGGACAACCATCACTGTAGCCCTCCACCCATCTGGGCTTTATGGCAGAGTGATTAGACAGAAGCCTCTCCTCAGTGCAAAACACATGAAAACCCACTTTGGAGTTTGGAAAAAAAGCACCTGAAGGACTCTCAGACTGTCAGGAATAATATTCTCTGGTCTGATGAAACCAAGATTGAACTGTTTGGCCTCAATTCTAAATACTGATTGGGGGGGGGGGGAAACAGGCACTGCTCATCACCTGCCCAATACCATCCCAACAATGAAGCATGGTGGTGGCAGTATAATTTTGTGGGGGTGTTTTTCATCAGCAGGGACTGAGAGACTGGTCAGTAGACATCTGCGATTTGTTTCGTTCCGAATTGAAATTCGGACGAAATTTTGGAAATTCGTAGATTCGGAGCATCCAAATTTCTGAAATATAACATATCGGAAATCATCCGAAAGCATCCGAATCCGAAATTTCAAATCAGAAATTTCAGATTAGGAACGAATTTCGTCCAAATCCTGTGCGTGTATTGTTAACATTTAAACGGATAAAAACAAATGAAGAAAAGGATTTTAATGTCCCTTTAATAGTAAAAACTAGAGCACAGCAACCAGAAATGACAAATGTGCCAATTCTGCTACCCAACCTCAAGTTGAATTTTCAGGAATTCGTCCGAATTCCGAATCCGATTCCCGAAACGAAACACATATAGGATCCAAATTCCCAAAAACTAAATAAACGAAATCCTAAGAGACTAAACAAAACAAATTTTTAGCCGCTGCACATATCTACTGGTCAGGGTTGAGGGAAAGCTGAATGGAGCAAAGTAGAGGGATATCCTCAATGAAAACCTGTTCCACAGCGCTCAGGACCTCAGACAGGGCTGAAGGGCCACCTTCCCACATGACAACGATCCTTAGCACACAGCCAAGACATCAAAGGAGTGGCTTAGGGAGAACTCTGTGAATGTCCTAGAGTTACCCAGCCAGAGCCCTGACTTGAATCTCTGGAGAGACCTGAAAATGGCTGTCCACCAACGGTCCCCATCTAACCTGACTGAGCTTGAGAGGATTTGCAAAGAAGAATGGCAGAAAACCCCCCAATCCAGGTGTGCAAAGCTTGTCACGTCATACCCAACAAGACTCAAGGTTGTATTTGCTGCCAAAGGTGCTTCAACAAAGTACAGAGTAAAGGGTCTGAATACTTAAGTACATGTGATATTTCAGTTTTTTCTTTTTAATAAATTCACAGACATTTCTAAAACTCTGTTTTCACTTTGTCATTATAGGGTACTGAGTGTAGATTAATGAGGAAAAAAAAATGTAAACAACTGTGGTATCAGGCTGCAACATAACAAAATTTGAAAAAAGTGAAAAGGGTCTGAATACACTATATACAGGTAAAACTCGAATAATTAGAATATCGTGCAAAGTTCATTTATTTCACTAATGCAACTTAAAAGGTGAAACTAATATATGAGATAGACTCATTACATGCAAAGCAAGATAGTTCAAGACGGGATTTGTCATCATTGTGATGATTATGGCTTACAGCTCATGAAAACCCCAAGAACCCCAAATCCACAACCTCAAAAAAGTAGATTATTACATGCAATCAATAAAACAAGGATTGTACATAGAACAATATCGGACCTCTGAAAAGTACAAGCATGCATATGTACTCAGTACTTGGTTTGGGCCCCTTTTGCAGCAATTACTGCAATTACTTTTGCATGATATTCTAATTATTCGAGTTTCACCGGTATAATGTATATATATAATGTGCAATAAGTGCTAAAAAGACCCTACGACTCGAGCCTGTTTCTGTTCTGTTCTGTTCAGTGTTGCTGGAGCTGAGAAAGGGGCAGGTGGCGGGCAAAACAGGTAGGAGAGTCCTAGTTCATATCCGGCGGCTCCTGCGGGGGTGAACGCTACACACACACA